TGAAGAAGAGACAGAGATGGGGAGGAGAGATTCTGGCTTCAGCTCAGGCTTGAAACCCCAAAGTCAGATAGACTGAAGGGGAAGCTGAAGGCAAATGTGGCCCTGGGCCAACATGGGCTAGAGGAACGGGTAGAAAATACCATGTATCTGTACAGGCTAAGGTTCCCACAGCTCTTGTATCCTTTCTACCCACATCCTTCCTGAAGAAGTGATCTTATTTCCTAAATCTGTTGTGAATTAATAACTTGCCCAAAGGCTTAAGTCTTTCAGTATCTCACTTCAAACTTGTTTGGGAGCAGTCGTGTTTACTGTAGTCAACTTCCCTTGTTCTTCCTGGACTCTTCTCAAGAAGTCTACTTTCCAAACTTCTGTTGGAATGGGTACCAGGTCATATCTCCATGATCCAACCTAGGCAATCAGATGCTTTCTCCTGGGAACCTTGAAGACTTCAGGTAGGCTCTGCTGAGCACTCAATAGATAATATCTAGAGATGGTTGAAAGGGGCTGCTAGTATAACTTCAAGACAAGTCTGGGTAATTGACATCTGCTTTAAGCCTAAAGCTCTATTTTCACATATTAACCTATTTTGTCTCATTGTCCCAGACGTAGAACACCTATGAAAACTTAAATTGAGCAACAAATATGCCATATATAGGAACTTTGAAATAATTACTAGCCAGGCATGGTGGAGAACACTCAGGAGGCTGAGGCAGGAGGATTACAAGTTCAAGACCATCCTCAGCAGAGAGGCTCTCAGCAACTTACAGAGACCCTGTCTCAGAATAAAAAATAGAAAGGGCTGGCAATGTGGCTCAATGGTAGAACATCCCTGGGTTCAATCTCTGGTACAAGAAAAAGAAGAAAAAAATAATTACTATGTTCACAGAATTGAAAACTTGGAAATTAATGGGTTAATGATGCTGAGGGTAATAAATGAGGACTCTATTCATTTCAGAGTATATGGTACCATAATTGCAGATAGTTGTGCTAGAAATCAAATAACCCTGAGTAGAGATGGGCAGCAGACTCAGTCAGGAGGTCAGACAGCCAGACTAGTCCAGAATCATTTTAGCCTGATATACATGTATGTACAAAGGCTGGACTTAAAGAGAGGAAGACTGATCTACACTTAAGCACCCCTTAAATAGGACTTTCAGAGTTAGAATCTTGCAACTCTGTCAATTAGAATAATGGGGCTGATCTTTACTATATATGATTTGACACCCTTTTCTTCATTCTCTCAGAAAACTAAAATTTGCTTTACCAAATGGTGTCTGTGTCTGGTATTCCCATCAAACCAAGCCTACTCCTCAAGAGTACAGAAATTACCCAGAACTACACAGGAAGCAAGGAAACCTGCAACCATTTCCTATTGTTCTTCCCAAAGTTCATGACGTAATTCAGCTTGACATTCAGGAGTATAGGAAAGGTGCTATCACATGACCAGGCCAATACCATCTTATTACGGCTATATAGAGGCAGGAGATGTGGTAATGGCCCCTAGTGCTCTGTCATCTCCTTTGACCCTCAATGGAGGGGACTTTCCTATCCCTGAGTGCCCAGTGGCCTGCTCGGGAGGAATTTACACAGCTCCCCAGCCTTTTGACATCATGGAGAGTAAAGGCAGCAGTGTTGGCTGACCTTTGAGTACTCAGTGGAGCCATCCAGAATCCCTGAGACAGAAAAGGATTTTTGAACTCACTGGCTTTGAAGACTCCATCTGCCACCTGCCCTGGCAAGGTCAGGGTATGTTGGATGCAGCCCAAGCAGGCTGCCAGATCTCTGCAGGGTTCAGGGTTCAGTGCTAACTTGCTCCCCCACCTTTCACATATGTACACTTATGTGTACACACAAACGCACACACTTGTCAAGAAGACTGGGATTTAGCACTGTTTCTTTTTTAAAGCAGAAATTTAAGAGAGTAAAATAACAACTTATCTTTATAGCCAAGGAAAATAGGAAAAGGGATAGAACTTAAATCTGGGCATCTATGTCCAGCCAAGTCCTGAGTCAGCTCCCCTCCCACCCCAATCTGAGATGACAGCTCAATGGAGTGCAGGCCTTTCTCCTGTTCTCCATGGCAAATGCTATGGTTGACTTTCCCTTGTGTGACACAGTCCCATGAGGACACACAGCACCCAGTCAGAATGTGGGGCATGTATAATGATTATAAGTGAGCACCCTACTGAGCATTTGCCATAAGCCAGCCACAGTGCTGCCTCTCACATAGATTAGATTGTCTAATTCTCACAACCACCCTTAGGAGACAGGTACTGTTATAGCCACTGAGATGAGAAAACATACAACACCCAGGTGGCAGCACAGCAATGTGAATCTAGGTCCATCTGACTCCAGTGTGTGTGTTTCCAAGCCTCTGTCTACAGCCCTGTAAGAGTGAAGGCCTACAGAGCATGGACCACTTCCCAGGACTGCTTTTCATCTCATCTGGTACCATTGCCCTAATTCTGCCAGTGACATGTTTATTTTTAAAAGGGAAAGCATCACTTCCCCTCTCGGGATGGATCTGGAGTCCAAGGCATACTTCAAAGAGACAGGAAGCAACAGGGAAGAAGCAGCCTCCCTTGGTTTGCCCTTCATATCAGGGGTGTGGGCATTCCATTTCCTTAGTTCTGTTGCAACAGTTGAGAAATGGCCATTGTATTAGCTGAAGGAATTCCAGCTGTTCTACAGACAACTCCCAAGTTTCAGTGGTTTAACCCTAAAGACATTCCTTTCTCACTTACATAACACTTGCAAAAAAGCTAAGCATTCAGAGTTTAAGGGATATCTCCCAGGTGACCAAGTCTTACAGCACTTCTTCCTCAACAGGGAGACCTCCAAGGTCTGCTTTCCACCACCCTCTTTGCATAACACCTGCTGCTGTTCAGGGCTGGGTGTGTAAACCACTCCCCATACACACCAGGGTTACTCCCCTATCAAGGTCACTGAGAGAGAGAGAGAACTGCCTGTGTAAGAATCAGAGCTCATTTCCCTCAGCCCTTCATCACCCTCATCCTTACTCTTTTCCATTACCTGTCACAGAGCTTTGGCATTCCTGATTACAAACCAGAATTAAAGTCAACAATGCCGTCTAAGGATGCAGGAAGTCTATGACAACTGGTCTGCCACTGCTAGTGACAGGCCCAGACAATTTAATAAGCCACAGATAGACTCCTTTGAGAATTCTACCAGGAGAGGAAGAAGTGATATATGGTTCAGTCAGGGTCAGCCCCCCAGCTACTTTTCAAGAGATTCATAGGTCCTTTGGGTCTCCCTGAGGGATTAATTTTGAGTCCAGGAAAGAGAGAATCTTGGCTTCTATGGCCCAAGGGCAGTGATGTCTTAAGGGACCTGCAAATTAGGGGGACCTAGGCTCTCCTTGAATTCACCCAGAGGCCCTGATGCTTGGAGTTTCCGTCCTGCACCATTTCAACTAAGGAAGTGTCCTTTTGTCCGAAGACCTGAGTTGGGAGCCTCTTACCTCTCCACCACTACCCTGCATGATTACTCCAGCTAGATTCACATGACTGTCAAAGGAAATGGAGCCCACACAGTGTGAGGCTCTGGTCTTGGTCTCTCAGGATGATTATGTAGAGAACAGCTGCCTGCACTGGGAGAGCACAGTTCTCTGCCTGGAACCCCTGCACCCACATAAATAGCTCCTGCCCACTTCCTGGTGATCCCATTCCCAGGGGTTCTGTCCTCTTCACTTACTGAGAGCAGAAAGTAGAAAGGCTTTAAGAACAATCTTCTCTAAGTACAACAAACAACTCTCTCCTTTGTGCTCTTGTAGCACTTTATATGGATGATAATTCTTATGATGTACATGTTAATAATCATGCACCATCTTCTTCTGTCTCTTATTATCTATAAGTTCTATAATAGATGACTTCTTATTTACATCTGTATTTTCTGTACCTACATTCATGGCATTTGACCTTTAGAATTGTTACTTGGTGAATGTGAATTATTTTTGAGGGAACCAATTAGCAAATAGATGCATCAATAGGCAAAGATGAATAGGATAAGAATGAATGAGAAATGGGGGAGGGAGTAGTGAATGAGGTGAGAGTGGCAGAATGATGGCCAGTCGCCTTCAGTATCCTACCCTCCTTTTCTCTGCAAACAAACATAGCCCTGTTTGTAGTTAAGCATGTTGCCACAGTTGAGCAAAAAGAATATATTTCTAACTTCCCTGCAACTAGAAACATCCAAAGTTCTGTGACTAATTTAAGCATAAGTAGCAGTGATGCATGAGATCTCAAAGAGAACCCTTAAAAAAGGAATGTGTGTTCTCTTGACTCTTGCACCTTTTTATAGCCTAGAAGATGTGTGATAGATGGTTGGAGCTTAGCAGCCATATTACACAACAGGGTGAATTCTAGGTACAAAACTACAATGGGACCATAAAGCAGAATGACAAAGTCCAGGTGTCTGTTGATCATGGAGCCACTATAATACCCTACCTTGCCTTCCTCTACATCTTTTATATACAAGAAAGAAAGACATTTCCATTTCACCTGTTGTTGACTTGTGGTTTGTTGTTTTTATTACATGCTATTGAATCTGATTCTAACTGATTTACCCAGAACAACAGTTCTAAAATCCAGGCCTCCTCTCTCCCATTCAAGTTCTTCAAGAAGTCAGGTTCAAGACAACCTATGATGGACTAAGACTATGCACTCATCCAGATCCTGCACAGGCCCTCCAAAAGATCAAGGTGGCACCCAAAACCATAATGTGAATCAGAGAATCTTGATCTTTTACAAAGATAATCAAAGTAAGGAATGACTCCTGATCAATGTTCAAAACCTACTAGATTGGTGGGGGCACAGACTGAAACTTGCATTGAATGCAAGTCCCAATGACCCCAGGAATTGCAACCAGGGAAACCCATCTATGACTAGATCCTGGTGCTCTCAGGACTGGTCAGTTCTTGCATTTTTGACAGCAAAGTACTTACTCTTTTGCAAAGTGGAGCATGCAGGGTTAGATCTTACCTCCACCAGGGAATGCCAATGTGCAATGGGCTTCCGAGGATATGACAGCATTTCACTCCAGTGGTCTCTGCCCAGCCTCTCGGCCTCGTTGCCAACTTGACACACGCCAATGATCTCATTGTGACCTACACTGTGAAAATGGCCCACAATAGTTTTTTCTTAATATTTTGGTATATAAGAGCATCAGTTACTCAAATAAATTGATGGCAAGAATGGGGAAATGGTATTTTTATATTATTCCCTAACCTAAAACATTAGGCCAAGCTTAACAGCCAACAGGACTTGAGATTCAATGTTGTACCCCCAGCTTTCCTGACACTGAATGGCTTAGCTTATTCCCGAGAACTCTGTGTTCAAAGAACTTCTGATGCATGCTAAGAATGCCATCTCTGGTTCTGGAACTACATTGGTCCCCAAATCCATAAAATGAAAAGGGAACCCTTTGAAGGAAGTTTATTTATTTTTTTATAATAATGGCCATTCAAATCACCACAAGAAGCTACTCAGGATGGGTGAGCGAGCAGCTCTGGGTCACAGTCACTGGTCTGGAGCCCACAAATGGAGCAGAGTGGAGGAGGAACCTGGGTCTTCTTGCTCCCCATTTTGTTAAGAGAACATGGATATCATCTTATGCTGTTCTCTCTTTCCCTCTAAATCCAATTTTTGGTTCTTTGACCCAACTTGATTTCTCAACTGTACAAATAACTCCTTTAACCTCAGGGATGATATTTCTGAAACTCCCTGGGTGGGTCTCTGTCTTGAGCCAATTTGTTTTTTCCTTAGTAATTTTTTTTTTAATAAAAAATCCTTTGTGTCGGGTGCAGTGGCTCATACTTGTAATCCCAGTGGCTTGGGAAGCTGAAGCAGGAGGATGGCGAGTTCAAAGCCAGCCTCAGCAAATGTGAGGCATTATACAACTCAGTGGGATCCTGTCTCTAAATAAAATACAAAATAGGGCTGGGGATGTGGCTCAGTATTCGAGTACCCCTTAGTTCAGTCCCCAGTACTCCCTTCCTTTTTCCTTCCTGCAAAGAGGAGTAATTTTCTCCTATTTGTGTGTGGGTCATAAAGAGAATAGAAGGGAAGGGAGATAGTAAAAAGGATACTCAAGTCTATAATCATTAAAATCAGATGCATGTAGAAACTCCATGGATTCTGTCATGGATTTTTCCAGTCCAGATTAATGAGTTTACTGATAATTAAATTGAGGCAGAGATCACATAATCAAATTTGTCGATGCAGGAAATTTGACAATAGCTTAAAAAGTGTTGGCCTAGGCTTCCACAGTTGGTAGTCAACACCCTCTCCTGGGGTCTGACACTAATGGTATTGTGTGTTGCCCATAGGAGATGCGATAAGGTCTGTCACAGCCACAGGCAGGTGGATTGGAAGACGGTCATGCGTCATACAAGCATCTGCTGAAGACCGCGTTCAGGTCACTGGTGCTGCCTTGCTGACATTTCAGAGGTAGGTGGGAAAATTTTTGGCTACAAATAATATTTGTAAGATTATATTAGAAGTCAGAATGATTTTTTTCTTTTATAATTGTTCCCAGACCACGTGGGAGGTTTCTAATTAAAAAGAGACTTTGCATTTCAGTCTAATGACTGGTTTAACATGTATAATTCCCTGTTGGTACTTCCTTTGCATATTAAAATGACTGTTTTTCAAATCTGTCCTTTAAATACACAATTGGCTACAATGCAGGCTATAAATATCTCTTCTGTGCTGTATTAATTAAAAAGTCTAGCATCTTATGCATTTTAATGTACCCTGTCATCCATACTGATTCTAGCATTTTCAAGAGAACATTTCTGTGTTTGCTTTCAGACTTAAGTGGATGGAAATGATCTTTATTAAACATGCAGCAAGAACAAAAAAAAAAGATTGAAGTTATGTATTTAGAAATGTTGATGGTCTGGCTACAGTAATCATTCTGCTGTTTTGAGTTAATCTTTTCCCTAAAGGTAATCAGGATTGCCCAACAGAAGATATGACTCGTGGGGCACTTCTTTAAGCCCAGATTCCGGGAGGTATGCAAACATGAAAAAGGGAAGAGATGGAGGTGTGGGGAGAATGGAGGAGGAGAAAGATGTAAGAAAGTGGGAGGAAAGAATGGAAGAATTGAGGCACAGTGGTAATCTGACTCTACAGAATAGTTTGGAAACTGGTGATTCCTTGTCAGTCTTCCTTCTACATGTTACTCGTTCAGGCATTTCCTGCAGCCTGGGATACTAGCTAAGAATCCATGGCCATTCCCTTCTGTTCTCACTGCCCAGGGCACGACAGACTTGCACTGAGACAGGGCTCTCACCGGTCATAATCCATGACTGCTATGGACAAATGGATTTGGTCAATGTTCTCAGGAGGGACATCAAAGACTATGGCTTCGTTGTAAACAGGATTCAGCGTGTTCCTCTTGGTGGATGTTTTCCTCTTCTTCAGTCTCCTGCCATCACACATCAGTGACACTTTCACATAGGGATCTGTATAGACCGTGAGAAGCAAGGGAAATGTGAGGGTTAACGTAGATGGTGGGTTTGCGTGGACAATGGTACACAGAACTCCTTTACCTGCCTCTGGACTGGAGTTTTGAGGATTTTAATTAATGTGCTATCTGGGAGGTGACTAGTTAGGATAATTAAGTCATTCATTCAAGAAAAAAGCACAGGACACTGTCTCCTCAAAATGTGTGAAATTTAAAAATAGTGTGAAACATCTGTTACCAAATTAGAAAACATTCCAGCTAGAATTTAAGACCAGCCTGTCTGTGCTAGAAAGAGAAATACAGACACTTCCAAGGAGTGGGAAACAGGCCTCAGACCTCCAACTTTGAGCCACCTCAGGGAATCTTTTCCTAAAGATCAGCGCTTTAAGAAAGGGAATTCCTGGATTCCTAAAATTTTTGAATCCCTAGACATGGAGAAAGAGCACCTGGGGGTGGATCTCCTGGGGTACAGGGCGCCTCCTGTCATCAGATTTTAAGGGGAGAAGCAGTCCATCCTCCAGGGAGAAAGGAACATGGGCTTCCTGTGGTGCACCACTGATGGGGGCCGGTGATGAGCTGACCCCTGCATCACACAGCTGGTCTCACCCATACCTTACACTATACTCCTGCTCAATGGCAGGTTCTCCATCTTTCTTTACCTGCATAGCCATGTGCTTTCCTGACTCCTGACCCATCCCAGGAGGGACTTAAAGGGCAGAGAGGCCAAGGCTTTTCCCCTTCTTAGAAAAACACTGACGTATAGGACATAAAATATATTGTATCTTGTGTTCTTTGATTTCAGTGATCGTAAGCCATTGTGCCCTTTATTCATTGGAAAACCCAAACTGTTATGTTCACTTTTATAAGAAAATGGAATTATCTGCAATCTTCAATAAGCCTGGGATGGTGATATCTGAGGAAAAAGACCAATTAGATAAGCTCTACCAGGACGGACAAACCACAGATCCAGTTTACATGGTGACAGAGAAGACTTGAGAGAAAAATAATATTACTGACAACTAAAATTATGTAACATTTAATATAAACCAAATACTGTTTTATGAATTTTTATGTAGTAACTCATTTAATCTCACAACTCAATGAGCCAGATACTATTATTACTCTATTTTATAGATGGGAATCTGAACCCCAGAGAGGTTACATGACTTGCCCAAAGTCACACAGCTCTTAAGGTGGTGGCTCTCTGATTCAATCTATGCAGTTTGGTTCCAGGGTCAATGTGCTTTATTACTATATTAGAAACTATGAAAGACACTACATTAGAACTAGACAGACTGAATTGATGATGTCCCACCTGATGCTCCTGTTATGTCCATTGCCTTTAAATTTCTTGCTTTTATAATGGTAATGGTCAGCCTGCCAGCCGTGGGAAGATAACAGAGGGAAAACATCAGCTCTCCAAGATCCACATTGTCCTGTTGAGAAAGCAGAGTGAAGCATTAGAAAATGTCTTTGTCCAGGTGTGCATGAGGCTCAGTGGCAGGGCACTGGAAGGGACCATGCTGCTCCTTTTGCTCAGTCATGAAGAGTCACTGGTGTCTCTTCCTCTCCTGTCAGTCACATAGAGAAGAATATACCCTTGCACTCTAGGAGCTTCTCTTCCTAAGGAAGCACAGCACATCTTTAGATGGCAAAGCTGCAGAGGCTGTCCAGGACTTCTACCACCATTTATCTAGCCACACACAGCCCTGCACAGCCTCCATGGATCCCTGTAGCCCAGAACACAACCTCCAGTGCAGAACTCCACAGCCTTAACAATCTTCCATGGTGCTCCCCCATGTGACTCTACTCACATCCCTACCACAGTCCACATAGAGCTCCCCACACAAAGCTACACAGAGATGCCCCACAGTGGTGCACAGCCACCCCAGTCCAGGCTCTGTGTGCACAGTCCCACAATGCACTGCAAAGGGTTTCAAAGAGGTCTGCACACAGCCCACAAGGGTTACACAGTGCTCTCAAGTTAGCCGCAGTATCCCCATATACTCTGTCCAACCACAACCCTCCTGCAAGTCCCCACTCTCAGAACTCTGCACACAACCTAGTCACATGTGACCTGTGCAGGACTCCATACCCAGAAATATTCTAGCTCCTCACGTAGCTCTGGACAAGAGCACTGCATAAGTGTGAGAGTAGCGGCCCATGACCCCACACGTCATGGCCCTGGACACTTGCTTCATCCTGTAGTTTCCATGAAGAAAGAGAAGGGCAGAGCCCCAGACCCCTGGGTGCCCTGCTGCCTGTCCCCAAGGTCCCCCTTTGCCACAGCTGTTCCCTTCTCTGGTGCTTCTATAAGGAGCCCCCATTTCCTCTGCTAGGGAAGACATCTTTTTGTGTGATGTGCAGCCATTCAAATAGGTCAGAAGACATGAGCCTCTTTCTCCTTTTTGAGGAGAGAGAGAGAGAGAGAGAGAGAGAGAGAGAGAGAGAGAGAGAATGAATAGAAAAAAAAGTCAGTTCATTTAGTTTCAATTTCTGAGAGATACCTGAGGTTTTGAAGCTGGGTGTCTGTGTCTAATTAATACAATTTCATACTGACAATGCTCTGGGGAGTCAGGTTCTTGCCCTCAACATCCACAGTCTCCCTTCCCCTTCGAGATTCTTCAAGGAGGCTTCTATTTTTAGAAGCACAGATTCAGCTCTGGAAGGTCACCTCACCCAACCACCCGCCTTGACTGCTTCCACAGGAGGATGAGGCAAGCAAAGGGATCTATTTAGTCGCTAAGGCAGATGGATTGCTCTGCATCTCCCTGCATCACTTGCCCCATGTAAAGCAAGCACCTTACCTTGCAAGCCAGTTTCCCCTGGCTCCTGGAGCTGTGACCTCAAGAGACCATGCAGCAGGGCACTTCCCTTTGGGGAGAGGTTGTGGGGGATGGGTTCTCTAAGAATGATGGTTCACACACAACAGGCTATGGCTGCTTGTGATGCTGGGTTCCCTGCAGCCTGGGAGCAGGATCTGAAGAGGATAAGTCTGACCCAGCTTTCTGCTGGTAGCAGATGGGAAAGAGAAGCAACAGCTGTCCCCACCAATCATCCTTTTTTGTCCTTATTCCCTGCCCCATTCCTTTGCCCTTTGACTTTCAGTCTTCCCTTGGAAGGCTTTCCACTGCACGTCGCTCTCTCCTCTCACCTCATCCTGCCCAGAAAATCTTGGTTTGACAAAGTAATTACAAGAGCAACCAAAATCATGCCTGTAAAATTTCATAATCAATTCTTTTGACATATTTCCTGTACATACACACACACTGTAAGGTTTAGAGAAATTTTGATTGGGCAATGGGTAGGGAGAGTAGGAAGGTGCATGGGGGTAGGGAAGATGGTGAATAAGATGGACACCATTACCCTAGGCACATGTATGACTGCACATATGGTGTGATGCTACTTCATGTACAATCAGAGAAATGTAAAGTTGTGCTGCAACTGTGTACAATGAATCAAAATGCATTCTGCTGTTATATATATAATTAAAATAAATACATTAATAAAAATAAAGGTTTGGGATATGAAAATATTCTCAGTCCAGTCCCTGCCCTCAAGGCTGATGCACATAATAAAATGTTATGTCAGATCTCTTCTGTACCAGGTACATTGGATCCCTTTCCAGAATAGACCCCATTCACAAAGATTGATATTATATGGCTATTTGCTTATGAGTTAAAAATAATCAAACTTCATACTTGGTACTATATTCAGAATGTGAACTGGGGCTACAGCACACATTTCTACTTTTTTACTTTTAAATATAAGTTAAAGAAACTGTTATCAAAGAGGAAATGCTTGGTTTGATCTCTAAGTGCTTTAAAAAGAACTCTTCTAAGATTTTCTAAATTATAAAAATAAAATTCAAATATAGAAAAAATTCAAGTTAAGCAGTAAAATATTTCTTTTCTCATGCATATGCCCACAATGTCATTCCTTTCCCCAAAGTAATACAGTGAAGAGTCATCCAAGTCTTGTTCTTTTCATGTGTGCATCCACCCACCCATCCATCTGTCTGTCTATCCATCCATCCATCCATCCATCCCTTCACTTATTCTTTTAACATGTGCCATGGTTATAAGCATGGGTTGAGCATGCTCTTTTCAGAGGCCTGGAGCCGAATCTGCAGTAGTGTAAAACAGTCACTATCCCTTGAACAGACATGGGTTTGTGGGGCAATGGAACAGGAGTTAACTGGCACCTAATGGTAACTGTTTTTCCCAAATAGTTTTTCTGATTGGGGTTAAGAAACCTGTAGATTTCAATGTTTTATAAACATTCCAAATCAAGTGGTTCTCAGTTAATAGCAATTTTGCTCTCTAGAGGACATTTGACATTACTAAAGAAATTTTTAATCATCACAACTGTGTAGGGTGATGACATCTAGCAGGTAGAGCCCAGGGATACTTTAAACATCCTACAAGGCAGAGGGAAGCCCATTATCTAGTCCATAATGTCAATGGTGCCAAATTCCGATGTATATGGATGTGCTTAGATTCTTAGTAAAAGTTTTTCTGAAATGCTCATAAAAGTCAAATGTAAAGGGGGTGGTGGAGTGTGTGGCTTCTTTTTCAGCTTGACAGGAATCAGATATGCAGAAGTTTCAGTGGCAGCTGAGTACCGTGGAGAACACAAGGGGGAAGGAAAATGCCACACAAAGAAATGCTTCATTTGCTCCAGCTTTGTATGGTCAAGTTCAGAATTGTTAGCAAGATGCATTGGGAATTTATGGCAAGCATATGTGAATTCACTACCTACCAACCTGTAAATGTTTTCTTGATCTGTTTGCCTGGAGTTGCCAAGATAGCTATAGTTTTTAGCTAACTAGTACACTTTTGTATTCCTCTTCTTGGACTCTTCTGGTGAATTCATTCCCAACTCCATGAAGATATGAAGGGCTGTTACAAGAATCCAGGCTAAACAAAATACTTACGCCCCTGTGCTTTGCTGGGATGAAGGATGAGTGTATACCCCAAGAAGGATCATTTAGAGTCATTCCTGGGATTGAAAAATCAATATTGAGAAAGAGAAATTTTCATTTTATTGGGATTATTTATTGGAAGACAGAAGACCAGAATTGTTGCAAGGTTCTTGTATTATATATAGTACAAATGGCATAATACCACTTTAAGTTAATCTATGTCAGTTAAAGACATATACTCAAAGGAAATAACTAAAATAACACAACAAGGAGTTATAGCTAATAAGATGAACAAAGGAGATAAAGTGGTGCCTTCTTGTCTGATAGGAGGCCATAAGACCCTCAGTGCAGAAGTGGTCCTGCCCTATTTCCAGGAGGAAGAAACACCAGACAGAGAAACCAAGAAGATCTGAATAAACCGGTCTTGTTGAGATTCCCCCTTCAGTGTGTCACCACTAGGTCAGACCCTTTTGTTCAATCACATTTCTACGTGTTGTCCATTCTTCATTGAACATAAGCTTACAAATAAAGTTTTCCCTGAGTCTTTGGATCTTCATTTCTGAAGGCTCATGTGTCATATAAAACTTCAATTAAATAAATTTATCTTTTCTCCTGTTAATATGTATCTGTCAGTTTTTATTTCAGACCTATACAGGAATCATAGGAGGATTGAGGAAATCTGTCTTCCCCTACATCAGTCTGTGAACTTCTTAAGGGGAAGGCCCATTTATCCACCTCTCTCAGCGGTGGCCATGTAGGGATGGCTCAGTCAATGTTTCTTGCACTAATTAAGTGATGCACAAATGAAGGAGAGGTGGTCCTTGGATATGTATTATACTCTCAGTAGCTCTGTGGAGCCTTTGTATCAAATGTCCAGTGAGCTCCAGGATATGGGACATCTGATCTCCATTCCTTCCTCCCCAGTCCCCACCTACTCCCTGCCACCATTATCACCATTGTCAGCATTATCAACTCACCGAGAAATCCTATTTTTACAGAGACTCTTTCAAAAACAAAACCTTGTAAAAAACAGTAGCAAGAAATCATTTGTTTAGCAAATACAATCCTAGTTGCAACGTTTCTTTCAAATGTCCTTTACCCTCACCTGTAATAATCACATTGATGGTTCAAACCTGGTCCATCTGTAATGTGGAAGCTGTTAATGATCTGATCTTCCTATTTTCTCAAAAAAAGAAAATGTATTCCCCATACTTTCCCCAAACATGACAAAATTGGCAAAAACGTCCTTTTCCAGCGACGGATTCTACCAATAATTAGCATGCACTGTTAAAGTAACTGTTGACTGCACTTTATTTATAGATATTAACATGATTAATTGCATTGGAAGTGTGCCTGGAGGATGACACTTTCTGAGCTGGTGGTGGGGCACAAGCAAACCAGCAGCCCTCATGGGTTGTGGGGGAGAGCTGGGACCAGCCTTGCCTTTCCTATTGGAATTGTTCTGTCAGGAGATTCTAAGTTTAATTCCATAAGACTAGCCTCCCTTAAGAA